ATCCAACCCAAAAAGAAAAAGATGCACTTGTGACCACAGTCCTCCCACTGTCCCGCGACAAGCCTCTTCCTAAAACCAGCGCTTTGCTTCACCTTGGTCCAGAGCAGTGGGAGTCGGGGAGCAGTGTGCATGAAACATGGAGGCTGCACAGGTCACAAATCTGGCCTGTGGCAGACGAGAAAATTTAGAGAAACGGCTTCTTGTAGCTAATCTATTCCTTCACCTCTACACCGGTTATAAGGTTTAGGAGGGCCCCCTTCTTCACCCCTGAACGCTGATGCCCATCAACAGCTGAGGGAGCCCAACTGCTAACTGTGTAAAGAACACTAGGACCCGGGATCCTACCCACCCCGTCTTTGCGCTGAGTATTATTAATTGGTAAATCACCTTTTTCCCATAGAGCAAAAACGGGTATTTTGAGAACCTAATCCCGTGATTCAGCAGTCAAGGAGATGCACAGTAGAAGAGCAAAAGGCTGACAACTTGGCCTGCCTGGGTCCTATCTAGAGAGGATGGCTTTACCGCTCGAACCAGCGGGCCAAGTTACGTATGCTCTTGGGCCGGTCCCCAGCCATCTGCACAGCCTGGCAGGCCCGGCACCAAGGTTCGTCCCAGAAAGAAGTGATGTGCACGGCATAGCTCCGGCGCCAGTTGAAGTAGCGGCGGTAGGCGGTGGGGTGGCGGTCGAGGAAGAGCAGGTAGGCGGCCAGGGCGTAGGCACTAGGGAAGTCGTCCACGTGAATGAAGGCGCCACGGGGCACGAAGCGCTCGTAGTTGGCACGCTCTGGGCCCAGCACCACCGGCACCGCCCCAGCCAGCAACGCGTTGCGCCAGAGCTTCTCTGTGATATAATCCAGGTGCTGCGAGTTCTCGAAAGCCAGGTAGAACTTGTAGCGGGCCACTGTGTGCAGGAGCCCGCTGTCGGGCACAGGCCGCCCTGGCCCGCCCCGGCCAAACACATCCACGGGCACGTACTGGCTCAGCTGGTGGTAGTAGTGGACCCGGGCCTGGCGCTCGTTCCAGTGGCTCACCACCCAGGCCACCAGCCCCCGTTTCCGGGACAGCGGTGGGACCAGGCCTGGCGGCTGGTCGCTGGGGTGGCTCCTGGGATAGAGGTAGCCATAAGGCACGAAGATGTCCGAGTCGGCCCGGTAGGAAAGCGTCCAGTTGAAGAGGTTACCTGCCAGGCTTTGCAGCCCCGGGGAGTGGGAGGGCGACTCGAAGTTCATCCACACCCAGCGCTGGCCCGGGGGTCTGGGGCCCGAGGTCGCCAGGGCTTCTTCTGCCGCCGCCGCCGCCGCTTCCTCCTCGTCGTCCAACACGCGCAGCTCCAGCTCCTCCGCTGTGCGCATCCGGACGCCCCAGGGCGGGGGCCAGTCGGGGGATCCCTTCACGAGGTCGCGGTGGTGGAACAGCACGGCCTGAGCCTCTCCATAGGCCGCGCGGTCGGTGAGCAGGCGGCAGCGCA